CCCACATCCACAGTCCCCCCACACCTACCCACACAGTGACTCACATCCACCCATCCCCCTTCCCACCCTCTCCTGCAAACCCCCCATCACACACCCACCATGTGATAAGGAAACCCAAAGCAAACATTAAAACATATAGATATTTAGGATTTATTTTATTTAGAGACGCAGGCAGGCTTCCACATTTCTTTAACATTGTAAATATAGCAATAAAACATTGCCCATCTGATCAGTCCCCCTTTCTCTCTCTCTTTTGTTCTAATTGAGGAAGAATGTGGATTTTGGGGTATTTTAAAAAGTGAATTTGGGATGCTACTTCAGCAGTCTAGCAGACACAAGGGGCTAGTGTCCCCAGATACCAATTGCCTGGGCCCCAGGAGCTCCTGAGGTCAAGTAACCCTGAGCTACTGACCAGGATAGGTTTTTGTATTGCTGGGGCCAGGATAGGGAAGCTTTTTATGCTGATGGGGATAGCACAGGTGCTGGCCCCGGGCTATAGCTCTCCCTGGCTGCAGATCCGTGAGGAGCCAGGAAGGGTTATTTTGCCCCAAGTGGCACAATTTGCTCTACAACAAAGTGCAAGTCCGAGCACGAGCTGAAGCAAAAAAGCCCTGGCTCAAATTTTCACCACTCTTATTTGAGCTGCTGCAAGTGCACATGCTTACATGTGTGGACATGCCTAAGGTGCTTAAACCTGGATATCCACAGCACTTCTGAAATTATTTAGAGCTGGGGTATTAAATTTACCCAGTGCTGCAGGCTAGCACATACTCCATGCAGCACATGGGGCTGGACTCAGCACATATGCTGCAAGCAGCACACAGGGCTAGTCTGGGGCATGTACTGGATGTGGCATGTGGGGCTGGCTTGATATACAGCACATCCCAGCCTGGCTCCATATAATGTATGCCTCTGAGAAACAAGGCAATATGCTGTCAGGAGGCACAAAAAGTTCAAGATGTTTTTTATGATTAAAACCATAGTTTATATTGAGTTTGGGTAAGTGCAGAACCATTTTTCACTCCTAAGGCAACACACTCAGAGTATGCTATCTAAGAAAGCAAAAAGTTCTTACAGGATGAGGCAGTAACATTCAAACATTTCAGGCTTTACCTCTACTACCACAGTGTTCATTTAGCTAACAATACTTACTTTTCTTTGTTAAGATTTCACTCATGCAAGAATCTAAAGAACCAATAGAGTTCACGGAAGCAAGCCGACCTGAAGATGAACTTGATGTTCAGGAGGAGGTATGCCAATGCATATAGCATGCAGCTATTATTTACGTTGTTTTTGTCTTAATAAAGTAGCATAACAAGTCATGCAGATGCAATATTCTGAGCCAGTTGACTGGCATTCCCAACTCCTCACCCTCAAAATATTACAGCCTTGTGGGCTGCATAAAACTTGGAAGCTGGCTGGCTCTTTCAGGGAAAGCATTGGCTGAGATGCATGCCAAGAAGTGAGGCGAGAGAACAGTTAGTGTGTCTCTGTGTACCTGAAGAACAATGCTAGTGGAAAAAGTTAGTACCTTTTAGTTTTTTTGGAAAGTACAGCCAGTACCATGTGTAAGCATGCATCTCCACTTCAGCACTCTTGAGGCAGTATGCCTGCGTCTGCTCTGTAAAAGCTTGCTGCTTTCAACTAACAAATGATGTTCAGTCTGCCTCCAAGTGCAAATTGGTTCTAAGGAACATAATTACCTCCCAAGATGTTAAGGTTACCTCAGGGACTGAATAAGAAACTGTCTTATCCTAGACTGGCAATGTATTTGGTGGTTTCTGCTCCTGCCCTGTCATGGCCAGTTTTTCCCGGGTGTAGGAGAGAATCCTGCTCAAAATCTGTGATAAAGCTATCAGCCAGAGACTGCTTCAGACTGCAGCCCTTTTAAGAATATTTCCTAGCAGCTCAGTCCTGGCTGACTGAATCTGCTTATATAGCAGTACATGTGCAAAAATGTTGTGAGAGATGTTGTGTACTCAGCACTAATCATGTACTTCTTTTCTCATCTTTCTTCCACCCTCACTGTTTCAACATCACTGCAAACAGGCGATGCGCAGGCTTGCATCATGAAGAAAAATGGATGTTGTCATGCTGTGGACTCGTGAAACTATGTATGCAACAACATTAGACAACCAGTATCTGAATTGGGACCAGTCTTTGCATTTGAAGAAAACACTGATTTCCTTTTGTGAACTCTACAGATCTCTAGAAATGTCTACATTTTGTCTGTTGACAGAATACCCTTGAAATACTCAAAACATTTAATCAGAACTCATTCGCAGAATCACCCATTGTTAAAATTTGGAGGCAGATCATCATAGGTTCTAGAAACTTCAGGAGGCAAGGCTTTGCATGGGTGACAGCTTCTACTGGATGAACTGCATGGTTGGGATAAACTTAGACAAGCATTCAAATGCAATGTATTCTTCACATAGGCATTGTATTCAAAAGTCTATCCCAACAATGCAGTTGGTTCAAAAGAAGATATCACTCACAAAAATTCTTGCCTTTTGCATACGTCTTGGACCATCATGGCTACAACATCATTCCAACATGACAAATTGCAGCTAGTTTTAGGGTTGGTGGATGTAAATGACCCAATACTATGTTGATACATATAGGAAAAAACAGCCACTTGATGGTAGCAGAACAAAGAGCAATGGTCTCAAGTTGCAGCAAGTGAAGTTTAGGTTTAGGTATTAAGAAAAACTTTCTTACTAGGAGGGTAGTAATGCAGTGGAACAGGTTACCCAGAGAGGTTGTGAAATTCCCATCCTTGGAGATTTTGAAGACCCTACTAGAAAAGCCTTGGCTGGGATGATTTAGTTGGGGACAGTCCTGCTCTGAACAGGGGTTTGGCCTAGATGACCTCCCAAGATCCCCTCCAACCCTAATTTTCTATGATTCTGGGGTAACATAGTCCATAGCATTGAGAAGATTACAAATGCTTTGGATTGGTTTGTTCAGTGCCTGGCACAATTAGGTGCTACTGTAACATAAATAATTGATCTATAATATATTCCTCAAACAAAAGCAGCAATAGGCAGTAAGAACTCTGGGCCCTGACCTGCAAAAATATCTTCAATCCCATGGAGTTGAACATTATCACCCCATTCAGCAAAAACATCTTTAAAAAAGTATCTATCTTGGTAATTCTTTAAAAATACTCCTATGTTTGCTTCTGTGTTAAAGTTTTATTATAAAAAAACTTTGTTACATAATCAAAATGGAGGACAGATGAAATTTATTCATGCAAAGTTAAACTTATTGTACTACTACAAAAATGATAACCACATAAAAATTGGGCTCATCAGGAGACACTATTATTTGAGAAACTTGGCTCATTAATTCTATTTTTAGTAACCAGGCCCTACTGTTAAAGATCATAATTGATATCAAACATATATAGAAATGTGTTTTGGCCAGGTAATATATTGCTAACTTATGATTTTTAGGGGCTAGTCTGATACTATTTGCATTATGATATTGCCTTCTTCCATAATTAGTCTGTTTGAAGGTATTAGAACTTTGGGAATACTGTCTTTTCCTCATGTACAACACACCCCTTAATATAACCCATTTTATTTTTGAAAGGCAGAATGAAATAAAGATCCTTCCTTCAAAGCCTTGTGTGTGGGAGGTGGGTAGGGGAAGGAAAGTGCCCAGAGCTAGCAGCAGCCTGCTTAAGTGCCCCTTTACTTGTGCTTTCCCCGAGCAGAAGCTTAAGTGGCAAGCACTGCTGTTACCATATTTCCTTGATCATAACGCCCCCCCCCACCAATTTCCAGGACCTGAATTTTGGGGGAAAATATGTATTATGAGCCAAAAAATATGGTAGGTTGATCTGGAATTTGAGTAAAGGTATTAGAATCAGACCCACTATCTAATGTTGGTTTAGTGGGATATAAACTAACCCTTTCTCTCTTGTAATAGAACATGTCAAACAGACCATGCTAATTTAAGTTAGTGAGAATGCATAAATATAGTAATTTACACAATGTTCAAGATTATAAGAAAAGCTATGCAATTTTAACCCCTGGTTTTAAGGCAATAACTACGTAAGAAATGATGGTTCCCCACTGTTACTACTAATAAATACATTTAGATAGGAAAATAGTTACATTTTTAAAATTGAAGGAAGGAAATTACCTGGGGTATGTGAGGCTGCTACACATTTAAAACATTACAAGACATGAAATACAAAGCAGACAGAAACTGGACATTGCCACTGCATGACACTGGGCAAGAGGACCTGCGGTCTGACACAGCAAATGGCAGTTCTTATGTTCTTAATCCCTGCAGGACTTAGGTGCTAGCAGGGCTTAACAGTTCCTATACACTTTGATCCTTTTTAGAGCCACCCCTATTTCCAGGCCTGCTTCCCTAACCATTTGAGCAAGGACCCAAACAGTGGGGATGTATAGGAGGTGCATGGGGATGCATGTGCACCCCGAGAGCACCAGTGTACCCTGACTGGCTACGCTCACTGCTTACGCGATGGGCGGGGGGCAGGCGGGAGCGCTGGTGCCCCCCCTGCAAGCACTGGCTGATTGCTGCAGTTGCTCTCGGAAACGGATGCAGCCACTCCTGGAAGCAGGGGCAGCAGTGATTGGCTGCTGCGGCCTGTCCCAGGCAGTGAGATAAGCCGCAGGGGGACACCCCCCCTACCCACCTGGGCAGCAAGACACATGGGCAGCAAGACTGGCCATGGGGGGACTGGACCCAACTGTATTTTTTAAAAAGAGCTATTTTAACTGGGATATACAAAAAACTAGAACTCTTGGTTCCAAAATAATACCTTTTATTAGATTAACTGGAAAATGGCAAGAAAACTGTCCTTTTCAGCAAGCTTTGTCAGGCTCTGGGAAAAGTGTAGATGGTACAAGATGGTAAAAAGCCCCCATAGGTAGGAAATAAACTTCATTTTTGCACAGAGGGAGCTGAAGATGGAAGTCTGTCCCTCTGGGTCCATGAGAGTGTCTGTGATCTGTGTTGAATAGCTCTTTGATGTGTTGATCAGGTAGAATCCCTTCCCTGGAGGTGTCAGATGGCAGGCAGGGAGGTAAAAAAAACTTCTCTGCTGTTCTGTAATGAAGTTTAAAATCCAAAATCGGCTAAAATTCAGGATTTTAACTGGAATTCATTCAGGTTTTTTTGTCTTTATTAATTTTGTGTCTCAGGTCAAATCAGTCAAATTAGTTGAATTTCATCTGTTGAGCAGGGCCGAGTCATTCAGGCCCATGTAGCGGTACCACTGGCAAGTATCTTCCCTCTGGGACTCTTCAGTCTAGGGTTTCAGACACTTCCAAATGCATGGCACACTTCCTAGCACAGGCCCCAAACCCAGAGGTCTTGGGGTTCAGATGCCTCCGAGTCTTGCTTGCCCTTAGCCAACAGGCCGAAGAAGCAATAATGCAGCGTTTCTCAACCTGTGGGTCTCAACCCAAAAGGGGGTCACAAGAATAGATGAAAAGGTTACGAATAAACTTTAGAAATGGATCAACACACGTTAGAAATGGATTCTCCTTTAAAGGTGAAAAACATGGGAAAGTGTGGCTTTTCCCTTGCAGGCTGGCAGAGTTCCCCTCACCCCACACTCTGGGGCTGCGGGTCAGCAGCGAGGGGCGCTGTGTTGCATCCCTATGACGCTATAATGGGTCGAGACTGGCCATCCATGCTTATAAACGGGTCCTGGGACAAATAAAGTTGGGAACCGCTGCTAGGGCAGACCCTGGTAGGGGGCCTGTCTGCAGTGCGTCGGGCAGGTCTCCACTTGCCCAACACGACGCCATTCAAGGGGATCTGACCTCCCCGGGAAACCACCTCCCGGTTCTTCCTCCGCCCAGTACGATGAATTCAGGGCAGAGGGCGCCCCCCCGGCTGCATCCCCGTTAGCCTGGCTCCGACGGCCAGGCTGGAGCGCTCCGGGGCAGCCACGGGTGCTGTCAGACACACGCCACTTGTGCAGAGGACCGGGCTGCGGGGCCAGGCGCCGCCTACGACCACCTCAACATGGGGGGGTGAGGTACTACAGCTCCAGGCATGCACCGGGGCCAAGGCGCGGTTCGCGGGGACCAGTCACTCCCAGCATGCACCGGGCTCGTTCCGGCGCCAGGGAAAAGCGCGTTTCCCAGCATGCCGTGCGGTGCGCCGTTCCGTCCTACCCGCTCGGGCGTGCAGTGTTCTGGTCGCCATGGTGACCAGTCCCACCGGATTGCGCGCCACGGGCATCTCCCGCGGGCACGCCCCGCCCCCTTGCCCAGTGACAGCTTCCGGTTTCGCTGTTCTGTCGTTTCCGGCTCCTCCCTTCCGGCGCGGGGCACTTCCGCTCCCACAGTGCCCCGCGCCGAATCATGGACCACAGTGGTGAGGAGGGGCGGCGGAGGGAGAGAGGCCCGTGCGGGCCCGGCCTGGCCGGGCCGCCTCGGCGCTCGCGGGTGCTGCTGCTGGCTGTGGCGGGGCTCCGGGGGGGCGGCTAGGCCACGTTCTGAGGCCTGGGCCTCACGGGCTGAGCCCGCGCCGAGCGGAGCCGAGGGCCGCGGCCTGCCCTAGCTGCCGCCGGCCCCGCCCCCGCTTCCTTCCACCCGCCGACGCCTCGGGGCGGGGAGGGCTCCGGGTGTGGCCGCCGACGGCCCGTGCTTTAGCCCCGGTGCCCGGAGGTTGCTGGCTTCGACCTCGCTCGTTGCGGTCACTTGTGACAGTGGCCGCCTTCGGGACGGTCCCAAGGGGCTGGATAGAGGTGCCAGCGCTGGGCCACACCCGTTAAACTCTCGGCATTCAGTGGGTCCCTGGAGGGTCTCGGTGCTGATCCCAGGGAGGTGGGCTTAACCCCTCTCCCCCAACTGCTTGACCCTTCAGCCGCTGCGATGCTGGGCTCGTGCATCTGACCCTGCTCCTTTAGCGTAGTGAGCCATGATCCCTCTGGCTGTGCAAGAGCCCAAGGTCTGTCTGGAAAAAGTCCCTTCCTGAGCATTGTCCAGAGGTTCCCTTGCTCCGCTTGCAGATTGCTGTGCAGGGGCTTGAGACTAGGTTTCAGCCCAGAAATATGAAGCTGTTCTTGACCTTGTTTCTGACCTCCAGACCTGGCTGCATTTGTAGTCACTCCCATGCAAAAAGAGCTTGAGCCTGGGGAATGGCCTGGAGTGGAAAGGCCACGGAGCCCAGAGGTTGGGATGGCCAGGGACAGGTGCAGGGAAGGGGCTGAATCTAAACCCACAGTGCAGGATTGAGTGCATGCTATTAGTGTGTGCTGACTGGTGCCTCTTTAACATGTGTCAGGACATAACCAAAAACTTAAATTAAAAAAAACTGGTAAAGTCATGTAAGAGAATTCTCATGCTTCGGTGGACCCTTGTAGGTTATGAGCTGGGTTAGAAGGATGATAGGAAGCTGGAAACTTCCTGGAGTCACATTAATTCCTGCTGTAACTCCATTGGCTTCTGGAGTCTGTAGAGCTAAACCAGGTGAGCAGGCTGGTAGAGTTTAGTTGATTTTTCAGAAGCTCTTGGTTCATCTATCCTACTCCTAGGAACAGCTCTGATGGTCTTTTCTGGGGTAGTTTTTATCCCACATGCTCAAATGTTTCATTTCCTAATAGAGGTAGTTAGCTTGTTAATCTGAAGTCATTCAGAAGGCAGGGTAGATGCGTACCTTTATAGACTAATGAAATAAGAGGTATACAAAGTACAAGATTTCACTGCATCATTTGCTAATGATTTTCTTAACAGGAAGTTTCCTAATATTCAGCCTACCTTTTTTTTTCACCTGTAGTGCTAGTCTGCACAGTTAGTGTACTTAGAGTGAACTGGTACATAAATAGCCTGAGGAGCTACCTTGTTCAGAAACATTTTCTCTAAAGATCTTGTGCCTAAAAAGTACAGAAGAGAATGTACTTTTTATATCTAAAATAATTGCTGTACCAGAAGAGCTTTCAGAAAGCTTACAGTGCGAGTCCATTGTTTTGTATTATGTGTTGTATGACAAGAGAGTCTGTTAAATACTTCAGATATTTTTTCCTCTTGGTTTATTCATCTTACCTATGCTAGAAGATCCTTCATTTATACTTCGTTCGCTGTCAGTATCAAAGAAGCCCCATAATTACCTTCAGTGCCTGTGAAGATTTTAGAATAGAACATAGCCCTTGTTTAGGTGTCTGCACTGGCAGTGGTGTGGACTGGAGGAGCTGAAAGGTGTTTGCTTTATGACTTTTTTTGCTCTGCATGTGCAGGCACAACTGTTTTGCTGAGAATTTTAGTTTTTTGGCCCTTCATGTACTGCTTCAAAATTGTTCTCCCTGTCGACTTCACTGGAATTGCTGTGCTGCTGGCTGCTAATAGATGTTAATGAGCAGCAACACGGGTTTTGTAACAAGAATCATGATTTCCTAAAGTCAAGAATACCCTTAACCTTAAAAGTATTGGCTCTGTGATGCTCCAGTCCTCAAGTCCCTAAAAGAGAGATCCGTGAGTTAAAATACACTTTGACTGAAGAACTGGTTTAATTAGTGGAAAACCTATTCCCTCCTCCTCCTCAAAAAATCCAATAAAACTAGAAACAATTTTTAGTGAGTGTACTTCTTATCTTCTACATTGTAATGGTAGCATTCAGAGCACTGTGTGAAATGGGTGCACTTGACCACTCAGCAAAATGGAGAAGTGCTGAGTCTGAGACGAAACTGGTCTGAGAGTCAGAGAAATTTACCATATTCACTCAATAATAAGGCAAGGTTCCCCACCCCCCGCATTCAATATGGGGAAAATTAAGCCTTGTCTTATGATTGCATACGACTTATCTGAAATCAGAAAATGCACTGGGGATGTCAATGTTAGTGGCCAGGCACCTAGTATGTGGTCAGTCATCAGAGGGCACCTGGGCACCCCTCAGCATACAGGGTTTCTGGCTGGCCACTGCAGAGTCACTCCAAGCTGCCTGCCAGCACGTGTCGCATTGCTTTGGCACCCTCTGGCTGGAAACCACGCACACAGCTCAAAACAATGCAGCAGGTGCTGCCCATGCCCTATGCCCACAGTGCAGGGTTTCTGGCCGGTGCATGCTGAGTTGCTCTGAGATGCTGTTCAAGCAGTGGGTGCTGGAGCAACCTGGCACATGCTGGTAGCCTAGCCAGGTCCCTTTCTGTGAGCTGGGTTGTTCCAGCACCTGCTGCTTGAGCAGCAGTGCAGAGCAACTCAGCATGTGCTGGCTAGAAATCGCATGCTGTGTAGACAGTGTCTGGCTGGCACCTTTAGGTCACTTTGAGATGCATGTGCAGTTTCCAGTCAGAGGGTGCCGAAGCAAATTGGCACACGCTGACAGGCAGCAGCTTGGAATGACCCTGCACTGGCTGGTCAGAACCCTGCACACAGCTCAAAATGACCTGGCAGGTGCCAACTGGGCACCATCCCTGCAGCATCAATTCTGGATAGACTACTGGACAGTGCATGGGTACTATATGCAAATTGATATACCCATGTTTAATTTCAAGGTTATTTTTTTCAAATTTGCTCCTTACTTCCATGTGTGCAGAGACAGCAGGGTCTGACAGTAAGGAGAAAGGGAAGGGTCTGCTAGGGAAAAAAGTGGGGGAAGCAGAGAGCAAAGAAGAGCTACCTGATCCCACAAATTAGTTTTCCCTGCTGTAGCAGTGAGAGGGGGACAAATTCAAGGCAAGCCTCCAATCATTTGATTCTATACCTGGAAAATGGTAACACATTTTTATATTTTCCATATATAGAATGTAATTATGGGGGTCGTCTCATCATCAAGGTCATCTTCTATTTGAGTAATACAGTTGTTCTGTTCCTGGCTTTGCAACTGGACTGCTAAATGATCTTCAGCCATCACTTTGCCTTTACAAACCTGTTTCCTTTTAACCCTTGTGTAATTTGTTCAGTTTGTAAGCATGAGGCTTACAATGGACTTGTTGCTAATCTTAGCTAAGGTATCTAGGCACTACTGTATTATTAATAATAAAACTTCTGTGATCTTTTAATCTGATGGTTTGTCACTTATATCTGAAATGGGCCAGAAGGGGTCACTGTTAAATGAAATAAAAGCAACAGTTCCAGCCTCTGCTGGCCAGTTCAAATGATGATGAACCCAAAATGTATTGCATAGCTGCAGGCAAAGGGTATTGGGTTGTAGAGGCCTCTCTAAAAAGAGTTTGTTTTCACCTTATAACTTAAACTATGGTCAGGGCTTGTAGATGAAATGGGAAAACTAGGTAAGAGGTGTTAGGGCTCCTTCATATCAAGATAATCAAGAGTTTGGGAACTTTTTTTATACAACTTGTCCACTGTGATGATTACAATGAGCCAGCATGGTAAGAGAACATCATTTAAAATATTTTGGTTTTGTACAGGTTTTATAGTATAGTGAGCCAATATTACCATTAGGCACTACACAGACACCCAGAAAAAGGCCATGCCTTGAAGAGCTGATGCATTGATTTATCCCAGAATAGACTGATTTTTTTTCCTTCTAATGAGTAGGGTCTGGTACAATAAATTAATCTTAAATTAGCTTTAATAAAACCAGAGTTATACTCCCAATTTGTCTAGATTTATACTTAACTTTTTAGGAAACTAATATGCAAAATAACCAGGAAAATACAGTAAACATATTTTCTTCTTGTATAGACAATGATTTGCAAGGAACTAATAGTTCTGGATCATTGGGTGGTCTTGATGTTCGCAGACGAATCCCTATAAAGCTCATCTCCAAGCAAACCAACAAAATCAAACCTGCACCTCGAACTCCAAGAAATATGAACAGGATGCCTTCAAAGACACAAGCTGGTGATGATGGTAAACTAAATAAATCAGTGCTGTGAGAGGAGAGGCAATTCATTTATTTTTTGGTCTGCACTAGTGGTCAGATGCCCCATTCAGTAGCAGAGCCCTCATATGTTAGGTGCTGTGCAAACACATAAGAACATGTGACTGAGACATCCACATATTGTGTTATAAGCAGTAAATGGCCCCTGCCTCCAAAGAACAAGGAGGATTTTTTTATTCTGTTTCTGTTCCTCTTTTTGCAGAAAGTATCTAAGCCTAAAATTGGATGAAGGCCCAGCTGACACTGAAATGCCATAGTATTTCTGATGGTTTAAAATGCTCATCATTCTATACTAAAATCAGTCTGAGTCATTTAGAAAGGTAATAGTTTGTGTCTGAAGTGTGGTCTCTTTTTTTCCCCAGAAGAATTTGATTATAATGAAGAGGAACGATATGAATGCAAAGGAAGTGAAATGTTTGGGAATCAGCGAAGATTCCCTGGACCCATCTTTTGGGACTTCAAGGTACAATCTTGGATGCAGTGGTTTGGATGATAATATAAATTAAATTGCTCCCTAAATTTTTAAATATATGGGGAGCAAGTTCATCTTTAAAGTGTGGAAATGAAATGGGATGCATCCTACTTACCTTTACAAAAATCAAATGAAAAATAGTACTTCTCTTACTTTTAGCATTGCTGTAAAGGTATTTTGTCCTTTTTCTCAGATTGTGCACAGGTCCATGTTTCTTAAGAAGTATTTAAGAGCTTGCAAGCATATTGGTAATATCGAAAATAAGCCATCATAATATTGCTCTTCCTTACAGATAAACTTGCTGGGAGAAAAGGATGATACCCCAGTCCATTTTTGTGACAAGTGTGGATTGCCTATTAAAATGTATGGGCGCATGGTGAGTAGAGCTACTCGTGGAAAAGGTGTAAAATTTGAAGCAATTTTAGAAGTAGTTAGTGGCTTACTGGCAAAATTGTAGGTAGCTAGTGTCTATGTAACATCATTTATGACAGCTACTTAATATTTGTAAGAAAAAAAGGAGTCATTGATTTCAAGGCAGATTATTGCAAAATAAGGTCTGCATCTCAGAGCAGAAGCAAGTAGATGTATCACTATAGGGCCAATTGATTTTAGGGGAGCTGTGTAGAAGCAGTAGGGGGTATCTCTGTGCATTTCAGTTCAGACTCAGCCACTTAATTTATACAAGAATGCCATACTATTCATGTTCCACATATTTTGTGCTGTTACCTTGTTGAATCAAGGAACAAAATGGCAGATATGGTGAAACGATGGCAGACACAATGTTTTAGTTGCTCCCATTGTAATCAGTTGAAAAATACTTTTTAATGCAAAAAAATGTGTAAGAGGGCTATAATACAAATTTAACATTACAGTGACCTTTTTCAGGTAGAGTACTATATATTAATGGGAGACTTTAGCTGAGTTAGTAAATTCCATACAGTAATCGTTTTTGTTTCCCTTAAAATAGCAATCAAACCTAATGCTTAGGATGAATTTAGAATATTGCCTATAATTGGATAGATGCTAATATTACTGTAGAAGAAGCTTGTGGCACATTTGTTTATTTACAGATTTGCCTAAATGTTTCACATGTTGTTTTCAGTTGCATTCATCTTTAAGTTCTTGAAACCATCTGATCAGAGGTATCATGTCTCTTCCTGAGCTGTACCTATCTGTTTCATAGACAGTTCAATGGAGGAAAGATCTGTTTTCTACGAGAGAGTCACTAAGAAGTCATGTTCTTGAGGGAAAATATGAGAACTTTTAAAAAAATACATTCTACAGGTGGCCTATTTGTTTACACCTCGTTTTAATAGAACAATTATTTGTATGTCTCTAGATACCTTGCAAGCATGTTTTCTGCTATGATTGTGCTATATTACATGAGAAGAAGGGAGACAAGATGTGTCCAGGGTAAGTGAGCTGGAATTTGTTTATTAAAAAGGGATAATGTAGAAATGGGGAAAAGAATAATTATTTCACAGAATCTTTTTTAATGTACATAATTTTGACACAGTGGAAAAAACACATGACTCAGTAAGAGAAGTAGTAAAGAATAGTGTTTACTGAACCTTGATAGGTTAGTTTAACATAACGGTTTTAACTAAATGATGAGGGATTCAGCTTCACTGCAGATATGTAAGTAGTAGAGATTTGAAATAGTTAATATGTTTAGGTTCTTCCCTTCCTTGGTAATTTGCAAAGAAGTGACAATTCACTAACAATTAAGGGTCACCTGCCAATTATGTACTCTGAGCTCAGGATGGTTCTCTGCTTTGTGTTGAGTGATAAACCTGCATGGGATGCCAATTATAAACAACACCTCGGAAAATGCCAGTCTACTTTGTAATTGCTTCTAGGGGAAACTGGTTTTGAAATATTTGAGTTAATTTAGGAAATGCAAGCCTTTTCTATTGGTATGGAAGTAAAAGCATTGGCTTTTAGCATAAATACTTCTAGATTCTGAACTGCCTTTGACAATGAACTGATTTTTTTTCCAATATAGCTGTAACGAACCTGTGCAGCGAATTGAGCAGTGTGTGCGAGGGTCTCTCTTCATGTGTAGCATTGTTCAAGGGTGCAAGAGAACATATTTATCTCAGAGAGACTTACAAGCTCACATCAACCACCGTCACATGAGAGCTGGAAAACCTGTTACCCGCCCTCCACTTGAACCTGTCCATCCTCCTATTGCCCCACCTCCTGCTGAAATTCCTGAGCGTTTCATAATGCCACCTGATAAGCATCATTTGAGCCATATTCCGCCAAAGCAGCACATCATGATGCCACCACCGCCTTTACAGCATGTGCCACATGAGCACTATAACCAGCCTCATGAGGACATTCGTGCGCCCCCGGCAGAGATGTCGATGGCTCCACCACCTCCTCGCTCGGTCAGTCAGGATACCTTCCGTATCTCAACAAGAAAACACAGCAATTTAATAACTGTCCCTATTCAGGATGATTCAAATTCAGGTGCCCGAGAACCACCTCCACCAGCCCCAGCACCTGCTCATCATCATCCTGAATACCAGGGTCAGCCAGTGGTGTCCCACCCTCATCATATAATGCCTCCACAGCAACATTATGCACCGCCCCCGCCGCCACCACCACCAATTAGCCATCCAATGCAGCATCCTCCCCAGGCAGCAGGTACTCCTCACATGGTTTATAGCCAAGCTCCTCCACCGCCGATGACCTCTGCTCCTCCACCAATAACCCCTCCCCCTGGACACATCATTGCCCAGATGCCACCATATATGAATCATCCTCCTCCAGGACCTCCCCCTCCCCAGCATGGTGGCCCACCTGTAAATGTTAATGCACCCCCTCCCCATCACTATAATCCTAACTCTTTACCACAGTTCAGTGAAGATCAAGGAACTCTTAGCCCTCCTTTTACACAGCCAGGGGGAATGAGTCCAGGGATCTGGCCAGCTCCAAGAGGGCCACCTCCACCTCCGAGAATGCAAGGTCCACCTTCTCAAGCCCCTCTTCCTGGACCACACCACCCAGATCAAGCCAGATACAGACCCTATTACCAATGATATGAGCGGTAAAGTGAACTGAGTATGCTATGAGAAAAAACTATACAGCAGCCTTTTAATGAATCTGACTGTTTGGACCTCTCGCTTTCTCTCCTCCTTCCCTCTCTCTGTCTCTCTCTGTCTCTCTCTCTTTTTTTATTAATAATACCATTGTTGTGACAGTAAGACACTCTGGGCACTTGAATCTTAAAGGATTTTTAAGCCTTGACCATAGGACTTCAAATACACTGTAGTTCTAAAATAAGTGGCTTAATAGACTGCAGCTATGTTTTAACAGAACTTATGTCCCTAAAGGGGCTAGACATGCCCCAGAGATGATTGCTTGTAATATTAGTTCCTGAAAAATTGAACATCCGTTGTACCACTCTAAGTATCACTTTTGTTAAATCCAATGTTTAGTTTTACTTGTGATAACTTTTTGTTAACCTGTGTACAATAATTAAATTTAAATATGGTTGTAAAAGTGCTGGGTTTTTTATGTGAACTTGAGAGTATATACTATTTCTGAAACGCTGTTTCATGTTTTCATGTTTCACAAACACTTTTCCCAAAAGTCGTGTAAGTATGACGGGCATTCACAAATCCTTTCAAAATAACATTGTTTACATTAAACTGATTATTCCATGTTTAAGATGCTATAATCTTTCAGTATGTTGCACTTCAAACAGAAGACTTTAAGTTGAGAACATTTCAGGATTACAAATGAATAATTCAAAAGATGCAGCTCTGGCATGATGCAAAGCTATATTAATTTAACATTTTAAAAACTTTTTTTAACTCCTTTTTTGTCCAGAAAGTTAGGTGTAGCTTGGGAGCTCATGTGCTTCTCACTGTGTTGAACTCGTGTTATATGTTTGCCCATCTATATGTGTTCATATAGATGGTGTCATTGAGTGAGTTGCCATGTCACGTCCCAAAAATCACCTCCTTTCATATAATGGGCATTTACCTATTTTATATAAAATTTAAGTCCATCAAAAACAAGTGTAAGAAATTCACACTCCTGTAGTGCATTTACTAATAGTATTGTTTAAACAGAGCTACACAGGGAAACCATCTATTTTGTTTTAATTGTCCTAGTAGGGTGTTCATTTTTGCATTCCAACATTAGTACTGAAAAATAAGTTTTAAAATTTCATTTACTCTCAGTAATGAGCCGCATTCATCTGTAAAAAAATAAAAAATCTAGTTTTGAATTAGGTTTCTAACCTTATGGTATCCCTCTAACCTTATGGTGTCCCCATAAAATATTGTAGGGATCCAGCTTATGGTTGTGAAAAACCATAATTTGTTTCTCAACACTTTCATGTGTTACCCAATACAAGCTGTTAGCAGGCAGGTTATCAGAGTGCCCTGTCGGCAGAGCATTCCAAACTTTATAACTTTGCAGATAAAATGTGTTTTCTAGTGGTCAGAGCAAGGGACTCTGTCAGGCATCTATGCTGCCTCTGCCACTGATTTGTTTGGTAACCTCAGGCAAACCTCAGGCCTGGTTTTCCAATTTAGGTGCATGAGAATTCCACAAGTGGGTCTGAAAAACTTGCTTATGTGCTTAAATGGTTATTTTCTGTCAGCTGACCAGCTGAGGGTGCTGTTGTAATATGCTTTTAAAAAAATCAGGTTTAGCCTCAGTTTTTCTATATGGAAAATAGGAATAATGCCCAGTTTTTAATGCTTTTAAGACTATGGGATGTAAAGCCTTATATATGTGCAAGTTATTACAGCATAGGCTTTGTTGAAGTTTTAGCATTTTATTGTGAAGCAATGGAAGGCCCCAGTAACTTGTTTTTGTTCTACAGACTCATAATAAAAAATATGGGTACTTTTGAAGTACCTTTTTATAGTGGAGAACATATTGTTCATAACTCAGTCAGTTGCACCTCATTTAGGTACATTTTGTTGATATGCTGAGAACTCCATCTAACAGCTTATCATTGTCTTAAGTGAATATTTGTCTTCCTAATATTTTAAGCCATTTTATTTGACTGCTGTAGCTTGTATTCCACAATCTCCCCTTTTCTTTTTACCACTGGACTCTGGTGGTTCTAAGAGCTGCTTTTTGTAATATCACCTACCCAGTGATTTAAGCTTCTGTAGAAAAGACTTGAATTCAATGTAGGGGCCAATTTTACTTTGAACTTGATTCCTTTTGACAGACTTTGAGGCGTGATGGCAATGTGTCCTCTACTGAAAGTTTGGCAAACTCCAAATGGAATAAGCTTCCAAGACTTTGGCAGCCATCTGTGTTCTTTAGCTGACACTAAAAAAATGTTAGTTCACTCCATAATGCACCTAGTCTTAGCAGCAGGTTGGATTGCATTTCTTTATTTGGTGATAACTGAAGGCAATAAAAGGTTTTGACCCATGATCCATAAGAATATGGTTTAATACAACACTGGCTTGTTTCTCTTTAAATCACTAGTAATGTTCTCCTGTTGATTTCTCTTACCATGGTAATGCTGTTCAGTTTATTAGCATAGGTCTTTCATTCAACCTAGCAATTCACAGAATAAGCCCGTAATATTACTACATCCAAGACAACCCCTTGGATAAAATACGAATTTTTTTTTTCCTTTACAAAGTCAAGGATAATTGGCATTTCAGAGTTTAGGGTTTGATCCAGGTCTCACTAAAATCAATGAGGATTTTGATTTAACAAAATGGGATCAAAATCTTTGCTTGAGTTGGCCACTTACTGAATGTGGTGTCATGCAACCACAGAACGGACCCAAAAGGCATGCAGGAAATGGGCCAGTTGTGTTAAGTGCTTGGCTTGAATCTATTTTTGCCTATTTAAGTGCTGTGAATGCTGAGCACAGCATAGAATAGCAGAGTTGAGGCCATCATTTTTATATCTACCCTATGAAGACGTTGATTTACTGACTGAAAAATTGGCGCCGGTGGGAGCTCAATGTTACCAGGATGTTAGCCAGCTACTTTTCAGAAAGAAGCAATGATACTAAACTCAGAAATGCCAGTTACCAATAAGCATATTTATACATAGCATGCTTTAAATTAAATCAGAGTAAGAAGCGCTTCTTACCTTGTAAAGACTTGAGAGTCGCAACTTGAATGAAATAATTTCCTTGTAAAGACACTACTACTTCAGTAATTACATTTCAATTCTGAATAAAGATCATGTTTGGCTGCACTTGTAAAATACTGGTACTGTTCAGAAATAGTTCTCATGCTTTAAAGAAACTGTTTGCTTACATTATACATTTGCTAGCCTTTCTGAGATTTTGTAATGAGCACATAAATGGCAGAGAGATGATTGTTAGTATCTATCATTAGATTAATCCTTTAGACTGAAGAGATTAAAACATCCAGATTGTTAAACGGCTTGGTGAAATTCTTTTTATCAGTTGTTAGAGGTTTAATTTTTTTTCAAAACTATCAGGGATATGGATGCCTAATTCTTTTAGGCAGCCTTGAAAATTGTAAGGCCTCACATATTATTTCTGTATTCTGTGCCTGAATAATACACTGTTTAAAACCAAAGCAAACTGAATGTATGCACAAATTCTTCTGCCCACTATGCAGAATGCTACAGTTTGTGTGCATGTATGTTATGTATCAGCTGTTTTCTTTTAGAGAAGAAAAATGTGAGCTCTACTGTTATAACTGATACAAGAAAATATTTGAACTGTTGGGTATGAATCTAATATCAGTAGTTCTGCATTTTTTAATTATAGTGTCCTTGAGTAGCTGTTTAGCTCATTTGGTTGGAGCAGTGGTGCTAATAACACTTAGGTTGCAGCTTTGATCCTTGGCTGGACTCTTGAGGTCCCTTAGAGCTTTACTTCTCTATGATAAGACTAAAGGTGGTGGCAAGTTCATTCGGTCTAAAAGGAGTAAAATGGAAGCACTAATGCTTGCTTTTCTTTACTAGATCTTTTACAACTCTAGCAATACAAGACATGTTGTCTCTGTCCTATTATATATTTCGAGTTCTCTCAAAAAGTAATCAGTGACACTTTTGTGTAAAAATTAAGCATAACTTTTCTACATTTACTAAAATGTTCATGGCTTTCGTAAAATCCGTTATATAGCTTTTTTCTGTTCTCAATTTAATTAGCTGTCTTGACTTAGATATGTACCACTCTGGTGGCAAAATAGGTATTGACTCCTATCAGAGAAAACCTCAAGTGTGGGGGAATTACAGATGTGAATGGAATTTAATCTCACATTGGTATCTGATGCATGAATTGCTAACTTGAAATGAACATTGTGAAGTGAAATACAGTTACTGTGTAAGGCTGGTTCTCATTTTCATCTTGGCATATACCAGAGATCAGGACATTTATGAATTATGTTTCCATTGTGTAACATTTCACTATTCTGGGAGTTAAAAAACACTATTCACACAGGCATTCTTCTTTGTCTAGTAATGATGCCCTGATAACTGATTCTTCAAATATATTGTATACATACTACCCTTATTTACTATTTTGCACAGCAAAGCTGGAGTTTAATGTTTTACTCAAAATTATTTGGCAGCAGTAAATGAAAATAGTTTGGTTTAACGTTTGATTTTCCCTCAGCCCCTTAAATAAGGCATCAAACAATTCAGCTTTGGAATCTTTTCTTATTGTGAATTACATCTTACTCTCTCAAAATGTAATCATGAATTTATTTTTGGGATTTTATTATTTGTTTTGTTCAACAGTACCAGCCAGAATTAGGCTTAATTATGCTGAGATCATTCTTTTCAAAGACATTGCAAGACTCTGTCCTGAGATTTTTTTCAAACTGTAAATTTGTTGGGTGTTTTGACTTTTTATAAAAAATTGTATACGACTGACAGTTTTTAGGATAAATGATCAGTTGGGTGACTAAGAGAAGAATCATGACCTTGTGGGTATGACCAGGAGTCTAAATACTGTACCTGAGTTCAATTCCTGGCTCTGCCACTCACTTGCTTCTTACGTGATCATGGGCACTTTGCTTAATTATGCCATGTCTCTGTTCCCCATCTTTTAAGTGGAGGTACCATTTTTAACTGTTTTGTCCATTTTGGTCCTAAGTCAGGAAAACATGTAAGTAGGCAAACTTTTTCAGATTGCATACTTTGGAGTCTGGCCATTTCTACACGATAAATGTGCTTGATAGTAGCATTCTCAGTTGTGTTATGCTGCTCTGCTTTCTAAACTAGAAGTAGTGTCACTGCATCTGCCCAGCACTGTGGGAGGGCTAATTAGCACGTCTGTGATCAGGCCAGTTAGTTAGGCCCCCTGCTGATTAGCCCACCTGTGGCATTGTGCGGCTGCAGTCACACAGCTCCTGGTCTAGGAGGCAGCCTGCCTGGAGCGGCACAGCACATGCGGTAAGCTGACTGTGTCAACAAGCCCTCTGCTGTTTGTGTATATGGGGCCCTCCCACAAGGCAGCCCTGATCTTGGTTGAGGCCGCTACACAGAGCACCATAAAAATGAACAGAAGCAGCATTTTTATATAATGTATTAATAACCAATCCAGATGCACTGCAGTTTCTGGCCCTCCCTCCCCCAAA